AGAGGTAGGATGTCCGGATGCTGACAAATTATGTCTATGGTTTCAAGAAGTGGTATTTTTGTAAACAAAGATGTCACATCAAAAGAAACCATAAACTTACCAGCAATATTTATGTGATTCATACTGTCAGCAAATGCAAATGAATCCTTTAGTGTATAGGTGGCTAATCGTTGACGAACTGGTTCTAATTTATCTGCCAGCCATCGTGCAACTTTGTGGTATGGTGAATTGACCATTGACAGAATAGGTCTGAGAGGATTATCTTGTCTATGTATTTTCGGCGAACCATATATGTGGGGCAAACGAGACCCACGAGGTCTTAGGTTATTGTAGGTAGAATTATCGATCATCTTTTTAGTAGGTCTCTGAGTAATTTCGTGATTCTTTTCTCAGTGGAATCTGTTAAGTCTTTATTGCTTTTTTCTAACTTGAATCTCGTGTGGTCACTCAAAATGGACTTCATCTTAGAGACATAATCTGTTGTGTTCATTAGAACAACACTTGGAAGATGTGAAAACCAGGAGAGGAGCGGACATAGCTTCAGATCATCACCTGGTTGTGGCCAAATTGAAACTGAAGCTAAAGAAGAACTGGACAACTGGACAAACAGCACCACAAAGGTTCAATACAGCCTTCCTTCGAGATATTGACAAACTCAATGAATTCAAGGTAGTTCTCAACAACAGGTTCCAAGCCTTACAGGATCTACTGAACGAAGAAGAAACTACTATGGAGGATAGCTGGAAAGGTATCAAAGAAACATTAACTTCAACGTGTCAAGAGGTTCTGGGCCCCAAGAAGCATCATCACAAGGAATGGATCTCTACAGAAACACTGGACAGGATCAAAGAAAGAAAGAATAAGAAGACAGCAATTAACAACAGTCGAACAAGAGCAGAGAAAGTCCAAGCACAAGCAGAGTACATAGAAGCAAACAAGCAAGTGAAGAAGAGCATTAGAGCTGATAAGCAAAAATACGTGGAAGAACTAGCAACGACGGCGGAAAAAGCTGCAAGAGAAGGAAATATGAGACAGCTTTACGATACGACGAAGAAGCTTTCAGGGAAGTACAGTAAACCAGAGAGACCAGTCAAAGACAAAGAAGGAAGACCGATCACTGAGATTCAGCAACAGCGCAACAGATGGGCAGAGTACTTCGAGGAACTCCTGAACAGGCCGGCTCCAATGAATCCACCGGACATCGAAGCAGCACACACAGATCTTCCTATAGATGTCAATCCACCAACGACCGAAGAAATCAGAATGGCCGTCAGACAAATCAAGAGCGGGAAAGCAGCAGGGCCTGACAATATACCAGCCGAAGCGTTGAAGTCAGACATCGAAGTAACTACAAGCATGCTTCATCTTCTATTCAAGAAGATTTGGGAGGCGGAACAAGTGCCGATGGATTGGAAAGAAGGACACCTCATCAAGATTCCAAAGAAAGGAGATCTGAGCAAGTGTGAAAACTACAGAGGCATTACACTACTGTCAATACCGGGTAAAGTCTTCAACAGACTGTTACTGAACAGGATGAAAGACGCAGTTGACGCTCAACTTCGAGATCAACAAGCTGTATTCCGTAAGGACCGGTCGTGCACAGACCAGATTGCGACACTACGGATCATCGTCGAACAATCAATTGAGTGGAACTCGTCACTCTACATCAACTTCATTGATTATGAGAAGGCATTTGACAGTGTAGATAGGAGGACGTTATGGAAACTTCTTCGACACTACGGAGTTCCTGAGAAGATTGTCAACATTATCCGGAACTCATACGATGGACTACAGTGCAAAGTAGTGCATGGAGGACAGCTGACAGACGCATTCCAAGTAAGGACCGGAGTAAGACAAGGCTTTCTACTCTCTCCCTTCCTGTTTCTTCTGGTGGTCGACTGGATTATGAAGACCTCGACATCTGAGGGAAACTACGGCATACGATGGACAGCTCAGAACCAATTAGACGACTTGGACTTCGCAGATGACATAGCCCTCCTATCACATACACACGAACAAATGCAGATAAAGACAGCCAGCATAGCAGCAGTCTCTGCATCAGTAGGCCTCAACATACACAAAGGGAAAACCAAGGTCCTCAAACACAACACGGAGAACAGCAATCCAATCACACTTGATGGCGAAACTCTGGAAGACGTGGAATCCTTCACATACCTGGGAAGCATCGTCGATAAACAAGGAGGTTCAGATGCAGACGTCAAGGCGAGGATTGGCAAAGCTAGAGCGGCATTCCTTCAACTGAAGAACATATGGAACTCAAAACAACTTTCAACCAATATCAAAGTCAGAATCTTCAATACCAACGTCAAGGCAGTTCTACTGTACGGAGCTGAAACTTGGAGAACTACAACAACCATCATCAAGAAGGTACAAGTATTTATCAATAGCTGTCTACGCATGATACTCAACATCCATTGGCCGGATACCATCAGCAACAGCCTTTTGTGGGAGAGAACCAACCAGCTTCCAGCTGAAGAGGAAATTAGGAAAAGACGATGGAAATGGATAGGACATACATTGAGGAAATCATCAAACTGCATTACGAGACAGGCGCTAACTTGGAATCCTAAAGGGAAGCGGAAAAGAGGAAGGCCAAAGAACACATTACGTCGGGAAATAGAAGCAGATATGAAAAAGATGAATAAGAACTGGAAAGAGCTTGAAAGGATTGCCCAGTACAGGGTGGGATGGAGAATGCTGGTGAGCGGCCTATGCTCCTTCACGAGGAGTAACAGTCGTAGTAAGTAAGATGGTGTGGCAATGGGAAGTCCGTTAGGCCCTGTCCTAGCAGACATTTTCATGGCTAACCAAACTCAAAGGAGCGATTAATGAAATGATGTATTATTCGAGGTATGTTGATGATACCTTCATCGTATGTAATGATCAACAACATGCAACAAATCTGCTAAAATATTTCAATGAAGCTCATCCCAATATTCATTTCACTATGGAACATGAAAAAGAAAATAAGTTCCATTTTCTCGATATCGCGATGAAACGAAGAAAAGATGGTACAGTTCAACGCTCAATTTATAAGAAAGACACATGGAATGGAATTTACCTCAATTTCAACAGCTTCTGTCCAATCAATTATAAAAAGGCACTTGTCAAAACATTGTTTCACAGAACAGAAAGAATATGTACTGCCGATACAATAGAAGAGGAAGTTCTGAATATTAAAAAGTGTTTAAGGAATAACGGATACCCGCTGAAATTTATTGAGAAATACGGAAAACGTAAAGATAAAATACCAAAAGAAACTACTGTAAATAAAAAACCTGTTTTTATTGAACTCAAATTCAAAGGTGATAATGTCACAGGGTCAATCAATATGAGACTAAACACTGCATTGACAAAAACATATCCAGCAGCTAAATTGATTGTCCTGTCCAAAACAACATGTTCTTTGACACAATCAAAGGTCGACAGGTATCCCTTTCATGTTACCACCAACTGTGTATACAAATTTACATGTATCTGCCAAAGCAGTTACATTGGTAGAACAGAAAGGAGAGCCTACGTCCGATTCAAAGAACATATTCCGAAGGGTTTGAGATTAAACGGACCAAAAACATTCAGCAGCGCTATCGCAAGACATCTCGTTGACACAGGACACGAAATCGATATACTGAAGTCCTTCAAGGTGACCAACAAACAATCAAATTCCAACCTTTTAAAATTTGCCGAAGCGATAGCAATCAAACGTTTAAAACCAGATCTTTGTATACAAAAAGAAACAGTAATAAATCTTTCTTTGCCCTGGTAACATTAACCCCTCTTTTATTTATTACGTCATTCCAACTCTTTCCAAAAAAAATTTTATAATTACATCATTCATAACTGACCAATTTCAATTCATATCTCTCTTTATTACCATTATTCTATTTTCAGTTACTTCATTACATAATCATCTAATGTGTTTTAATTCCATGAGTTCTAATCACTATTTCTATGTTATGGAACCTTCCCTCCCAAACTATATATATTCGAAACAAAATTTTTATAACCTCATTATTTCTAACAGCATCTTTGCTACATCATGTTACTTATATTCATCCTTCATCACCCTCTTATGTCTAAGTATGTCAATATCTGTAATAACGTTGAATTTCAAATATTTTAGGTTGTAAGCAGCTGATGAGAACCTAACGAAATAAAATGAATTCATGTTATTCTGCACCAACCTTTGTTCTTGCTCTCTTTAAAAATTCGATTAGTTTATCAAATGATTATATTCTAATATCATTTTGATCCCTTTCAAGTAATTATGTTGTAATTAAATGTAGATCTTAGATCTGATTATTTGGTATAATCACTATTTAATTTAAATTGCCTGATAAGAATTCATTATTTAGGAGAAGACAAATTATGTACATAATATAAGATTTTTTGACCTATCTTTTGTTATTTATTTCAGTAATCTGTCATACTAAAAATTATGAGTACAAGACTAAACGTGTAACAAAGTGCTGTTTCTGTAAATTAATACTTCATTTAGATATTCTAGAGTTAATTTCAATTAACAGTTAGTATAAAAACGTTTTCGTTATGAACTGTTACCAACTTGATTACCACTTAAATTTTGGAAGAATTGAACATCTACTCTGTTTTAACCAGAGATTCTTCAAAATTTCGAATTCGTCCTATATAGGAATCAAAATATAGTGTTTTAAGTCTTAAGGCAACCACATTGCCTTTAGACGCACTGAACCAGAATCTGTTGATCCATAAATCCGACTTTACCAAATCGGTTACTAAGATTAATATATTGAATACTGTTAAATAAAAACCCAAAAGTTCTTGTCAATATAGTTCATTATTTTCGTAGTATGATTTTATTATCAGTAAGTAGTCGTTTTTATCAACAATCTCTGTCGTCACCTAAAGTTGACTAATTCTGTTATATCATCAACCATCATGAAATAAGACCACGCTTTCTTTTAAATGAAATTACCGTCTTTTTATTTTCTTATACCAAGGAAATTATGGATCTTGCAAGAGGATCACATACTTCATATCAATATCAACCTAAGATATATTTCACTGATCACACAGCTTTATATCGTTCACAATCTGATCAAACTAATGGTACGTACTAACTGTAAATTTGACTTCTTGTTGTACATATGTCTGTATATTGAAAGTTCTGGTTTTATTTGTAAATCAGTTTTTTCTTTATATAAGATTATAGAAATTAATGGATCGGCGGATAAACGGTTAATTGTTAATTAAATCTCAGGTTTATCAATCTTAAGCAACATGGAACCTCGCACAAATGTTCATCCACCCAATTTACTTCAGTATAGGAGGTTTGTGAAGATTATTGGATGTTGCTGATACCACGAACCGACCAAAATTAGACGTCTATTGGAAACCAGAAAGCATTAGATAGTTGGTTCGCGCTAGTATGAGCTTCTCGCCAATGTGTATACACGATATCACTGGACACTGAACCTAGAACCTCCAGTCTCTCAACAAACGCTTTACATAAAAACCACTGAACTGCCGTCTAATGGTGTACATGTCTAATTTCACTCAATTCCCGATAGTGAATAGCCGTCTTATGCGGCCTGCTTGAATATCTGGGCTACCTGTTTCTGCCATCTAGTTATTTCAACAAGTTATCTGTTTTTTCATTTTGTTTTAACCTCTCATTATGTCCACTAATCGCATAACATATACAGGCGCGTTTATGAAAAGCCTACGACCTTTCGCTGCACAAAAACCTACAATAAAAGACATCGTGGTGGTTGGCAATATGCGTTGAAGAGAATGAACATTAATCGTATGTCGATTCCCGAATTGCTCAATTCTAACTGCCGATCATTAATTAACAAGATAGACTATCTTCAATCCCTACTAAGTCAAAATATGTATCGTAATTGTGGTGTCATCACAATTCAAGAATCTTGGTTAAACGATTTACAGGACGACTGCCTCGTATCCCTACATGATTTCAAAATTTGTCGTCAGGATCAATCAAACGATAAAAAGAGGTGTGGCGGTGGTGTAGCTACTTTTGTAAACGTGAACTGGTGTCGATCTGCGTTTGCGTGTTTCAAGTTTTCAAATGACTTTATCGACTGTCTAACTCTAAGATGCCGTCCAAAACATCTAAATAAATACAAATATGTTTATGTTACCAATATCTATGTGACCCCAGACTGCACATCATCTGCGCTATCTGTCTTCGCTGATGAATTCACTGAGTTCGCTGTTACTGCCTTTAGTGATTCACTTTCAGTTGTATGTGGTGATTTTAATTCATGTGACTGTAGCTTCCTTACATCGCTAGGTCACCAAAATGTAGTAGATTTTCCTACTCGGTTGGATGCTCATTTAGACTTCGTTTTCATTAATGATGTAGGTATATATGTGACTCGTAAACGTGCTCCATTGTCTAGCTCGGATCACTGTATAATTCGTGTTCTACCTAAAGTATATGGAAAGAGTGCACTCTTAAATCAAAGCAAGAAAGTCAAATATAGGAATTACTCAGAAGTAAATATCCGAAACCTGAAAGACATGTTTCATACGACCAACTGGGAATTATTTACAGATGACTCACTGGAAATCACTACTGATGTTATCACTTGCTACCTTAAATTCCGTTTTGATATTTGTTGTCCCACTGAAACTATTTTTGTAAGTTTTGATCGACTTACATCTTCACAACTAAAACGACTACGGAGAGTGAAAGAAATAATGTACAAAAAGAAAAACTCTAGTGAAGTTCGTAAGCTAAATGGTCTGATAAACCTCGAGATTAGTCGTCTCAACACTATGTTTGCTCAAAAACTCTTGTCTTGTAAAAACTCTTCAAGTATGTGGAAACTCTGTAAAGAACTTACAGGTGACAGACAGATTAGGACCGATAACCAGCTGGATGTTTGTGACTTAAATAAGTCTTTTTTTACGTCAATCATCTGATGTGATACTCCCTTTATTCACGGGTTTAAAAAATAGCTGTGTTCCTAGTTTCACCGAAACTGATGTCCAAAAATGTCTCCAGTCACTAAATTCATCCCGATGTTTGGGACCTGATGGTATCCGAAACCTCCTTTTCAAAAAGTGTGCTGACGTCCTATGCTATCCATTCACCACTATCTTTAATAGATCCTTCTCTTCTAATCTCATACCGAAAAAGTGGAGAAAGATGAAAATAATCCCTATACCCAAGAAATCATCTAGTGATAAGAATGTGAAATTCAGACCCATTGCAATAACTTCACCCTTCCTCAAAGCAATGGAAAAATTATTGACACTTTCACTTCAGCCTGCGATGAAAGAGCACATTCACCAGTATCAGTTTGCTTACAGATGCAAAAGAAGCACCCTCGATGCTGTTGCTGTTCTGCATCATAATATAGTGTTCAACCTAGAAAAGGGTAAGAAGTATGTTCGATGCGCTTTCCTGGATTATACTTCTGCTTTTGATTCCTCTACTACATTAAGAGGTTGCATGCCTTTGGGATCACTCGTCATTTACTCCTACAATTTGTCAATTCTTGCATATTACCTATTATTCTGTACTGTTCTCCGTTATTCTTTCCCGGGCTTTTGAGAAAAGACTTTGCTGTACTGCGGAGAGCGCTGAAGGCAGTTAGAAAGTTATGTGGTGAATCTTTCGAGACCATAATTAATATGATTGTGGATGAACATCTAAAGTCATGCGAACTCCTGGTAGATGTTATTTTATCAGATACTAACCATCCCCTTCACTCATATCTTTCTCATTGTATATCTTCTGGTAGAATGAGACGAAATTACATTAAAATCCAAGCACGTAAGCAAAAGTATAAACGTTCTATAGTACCTTACCTAGCAAATGTACTCTGTGACGAACAGGTTGTTAGAGTTAACCTAGTCAATAATCAGCATTCTTAACATGACTCTAATTGAAAAGTTGTAGTTTTTTTTCAGATTTTTTTTAAACCGTTTTTTTTTCTTTTGTTCTGTAAAAGAAATTTGTTGAAATATTTTTGTGCTGAGAATTCTATATTGTACCAAAATATAATATTGAATAAAGCCATAAATAAATAAATAAAATCTTCGATTGTCTTTAGTAGGTTACTGCCTCACATCCAAACTTCACTGGTCACAAATTTCATGATTATCTGGAAACTAGCCACTAGTGAGCACGTGATGTTTTTAAGTGCGGGGGTTTTGCGGAGAATACTAAATGTTATTAATAATGAGAATGAAAGGTGCTTGTGCAACATCGCTATTTAACAGAACTTAGAGATGTACATTATTGGATGCCGACTCAGTGATCTAGTTGTTAAACGTTCACCAGAAAACCTAAGCCTCTGATTTGATCCTCGTTGAGGTCGTAAATACACACACCTGAGGAGCCTCATACCGGGACGAAATAGCTATCCAGTGTTTCCTGGTTTCTTAATAGATGTATAACTTATGTCGAAAGGAAACATATTAGATAAAATATCAGTGATAGATTACGACAAAACAAGAAGTATTGGTAGAATGGAAAATATTGAATGTAAAAACTCAAGGGATATATAAACTTAGTAAATCTCCATTGCGACTGATCTAGAACCATGCCATCTAAGGTTACAAATAACAATATTCATACATGGCTATACAAAAATAATGAACAAATACAGAATGAATTTTGTATTCACCTATCAAATAATATTTTAATCTACGGTGACCGAAACTTTACTCATTCCTGTTTGTAGTACCATGACCTAATAATTTTGTGTGCTCTACCAACATATCCCATGTATAAGTAGAACTTTTAAGTCAAAACAGTTATTTTCATTCCTTGTTTTCAAATAGTAGATCAAATAACTCAATTCCAGTTTATAACATAATGAAAAATAGGTTCAGTAAAAGTTATTCATTTTAAACTACAGACTTATTTAAATAAACATGGTTGTTTTCATCCTGGGTTGAACAACATGCATTTTTTTAGTCAGTTAATTCTTCAAGAATGATTACAGAATTTTTATTGATGCCAATGGATTTTGTAGTTTAAATCTCAGATTGTAGATCATTCGACATAAGAGATGTTGACGTAAATTTTGGCAAAGAAAAATAAAGGCTGTATTAATTTAATGGAAAGCTTACTTTGAGTTGATCAAATGTTCCAATTTAATTTTCGTCAAAATGTTTTGGAAGCCAACAATGTTTAAGATGTCACATCTTAATACTTATTTCCAAACTAACCACCCTGATTAGCGTTGATTTCAACGCTAATCTGCTATTACTTTACTTATGTATTTGACGTTTGTCATAATATTCAGCTAACATTTCTAGTTGATGATAGTTTTCGTTATAAATTGACATCAGTTAGAGATCACTAAACTGGTGTTTCGTTCTAGTTCGCAACTCCTCGTTAGTCGCCACCTACAGGTTTTTTTAGCTGATGCCATTTCGTGTGAAAATCTCTACAAACTGCCTAAGCAATTAAGAATTGAAATTTCTCCACTTGAAAGCTAAACAACGATAAAAGTATATACCACTCAATTTTCTATAATATTGCTTTTTCCTATAGACTCACGCAGCTTCGAACCAACAGCTGTCTTATTACTCATCCCGCTGATGTTCGGAAAAGGAAATCGCATTAACCCACATTATATTCCAGTGGTGCTGCGTCTGTTTTCGGATCCAGCGTTTGTAGGCTTAATCGGTGGTCGTCGAAAACATTCCAGCTATTATGTTGGTTGTCAAAATAATTCGTTAATTTACTTAGATCCACATTTTACTCAACCAACTCAAAAACTGAATTCCCCTAAATTTTCAGTTGACGTAAGTATACTTTATTCATTTGAATGCAATTTTGAATCTAATTATATATATATATATATATATATATATATATATATATATATATATATATATATATATATATATATATATATATATATATATATATATATATGCGAGCTCAGTTTGTAAAAGGGTTTTGGAAAATTAGTAATATATTGAGATCGATTTATGGGAGATAAAACATTGAAAAATAACCGGACTTTTCAAGTACACCAAAACATGTATTTAGTGGCAACGGTTCAAACTTCAGAGGAGCCGACGCCCGTCTTGGACAGATTGTATGTAGTCGGGACCAGAATAAGATAGCAAGTGCCCTTTTGGAAAGAGGTTGTGAATGGCATTTTAACCCTTCGAGAGCTAGTCATCGAGGCGGAGTATGGGAACACATCATAAAGTCAATAAGAATTCTACGATCACTACTGTTTCAGAAGGTATTAACGGACGAGTCCTTGCAGACGCTTTTAATAGACTAAAGGAATACTGAAAAATCGTAATGCTAGTTAATGATTGTGATAACCTGAATGCGCTTACGCTTAATAAGTTATTGTTAGTTAATAGAGGTGTATTATTCGACAAAGCGCGGATGAGTAAAACCTGCTTATATAACAGGAGATGGGAGAAAGCGCAACAACTAGCCAATCTATTCTGGAACAGATAATTACGGGAGTACCTACTAACCCTTCAGGCGAGATCCAAGTGGTTGGACATGAAAAGAAATCTACAACCACAAGATTTAGTGTTTGTAAACAATACTGGCTCACCGAGAAATCTGTGGCTGATGGATGAGTCATAACAGTTCAACTGAAGATAGCAATCGAAGAGATCAGCCGGGATATACGGAACCTGTGCCTATTAAAAGTAACTGATTACTTGAGTGCAACAGTTGCGAAACCTGAACGTGTCGTCCGCCTGGGAGGGATGTTAGTTATGTCCATAACTAATCAATCAAATCGTTGCTTAAGCTCCCACCACGTCAATCTGGTCTGATGTGCCTGTAGACTATTCGTCTTGCATGTGACCTACCAATTGAAGGACATTATTATCTTATTATTCTAGTGTGACATAAATTTTATTCATTTCGATAAGGCAAGCAATACCGGTCGGTATATTTGTGCGTTTCACTTAATGAATATAATTCCTTTAATTATTGTAATAATCAAATTGTTCTTTTTACGTTAAGGGTCGTAAACCATCCAAAGCCAAAACAACTCTTGGCTATGTATGTTGATGAAAAAGTCGAACGTATACGATTTCTCGTGTCTTCCAGTCGCCAACTCATTGTCCCAATGACCACTAATGAACTGAATTCGGAGGAATCACAAGTACACACAATCCTAACAAGAAACTTAAGCGATTGTCATGTTCGTCTAGCCCTTCAGGTGCTGATTGCATTCTGTTGACCAGATTGCAGTATTTCCACTAGTTTAAGTAACGGCATAGTGTGCAAGGTTAGATGATTAGAAGTCAATAGGAAACTCTTGACTTCAGGTTTGTGCTAGTTGATACTCGTCAGCTAAGAGTACCAATAAGTCAGTCGTAGCCTGGTAGTAACGTCTCAGATTGTGAAGTTGGGTACCGCGAGTTCGAACCGCACAAGGACCATCGGTTCATTCAAGACTAAACGTACGCCTTACTAAGTGTAACTAACACAGAATTTAGGTTCAAGGTTTCCTGTCGATTACCTCCAATCACTCAGCAAAAGACTCGAAGTTTAGAAAAACGAGACAATAAGATCTCATGAATTTGAACCCGGAGGATCTCGTGACATGTTTAGGACAATAGAAATGGAGACGAGCAGAGTTTTTGCCACAAATAGGAACTAATTTTTGAGAGGATGAGACTGATGTATAGAAGTTTTTATGGTACCACTCCGCATATTTATTGGACATACGACGTACAGACATATACTTTTGTCGCACTACCAGTATTCAACATTCCTAAGTTTTTTGGTTACTTTTCATAATAGCATTGAGCACATAAAAGTTAAGAAATATAGTAAAGTATTAGGTGAAATATCCATCGAGTTTATCATTTAGTTAATGCTTACTTACTTAACTTTGCCAACCATGTGGTTCCTCAAAATCTTGACAGTAGCCACTACATTTCCTATATTAGTTTTAAACATTGTACAAAACCAAGCTAAAGGTTACAAAAGAAGCGTTTTTATATTGTAATACAAACAAAACTTGGGTATACAATCTGGTAGGAATACTCAACCCCACTAATCTTTTAATAACCATTATGCTAATATAAATACCAAATGTGTTTCATCAGCGATGGGAGAAAAATATTCAAACTCTTATTCATACCAATGATATCAAGAATTCTAACCAACTAACAAGAAATCGACTAAATAATTAATCATGGTGAATGTAATTATAAAAGTCTCATCCTACTCATATACTAGAAATAGACACGTTTGTCGCAAAAAGTTCATTGCTAACTTGAAGGCGGCTACGAAAATCAACATTAAGAGGGTTCTAAGAAGTGTTGTACTGAGTTGTGAAATTATGCATCTCCTTATGTATGTCTGAATGATAATTATTCCCTAAGAATATATATATATATATAAACATAACTATTATCCTTGCAACCTGAACAAAGCCACCCTAACTCACTATTTGTAAATCACAATGTATCTGTACCTAATGCTTTATATACCAAGTTTACTAGACTATTTCACTGCTACTTACTGACATACATTGGACGGCAATCCCAAATTAAATAGTAAGTCTGTCAGTTCACGCTCCTTGGTCAATCATATTTACTTTTACTAGCCACGCATCAATGATCCCGTCTAGTTCGTCGTTCTGGATCAATAAAAATCTCTACTAATTATTATATTCCTTTTCACATTCTGAGTTTTCACGCCAGCAATGGTTCTTAATATTTCAAATAACTTGATATTCTGAATCTTTATTTTTCAGTCTTGGTACTGTCCTATTCCTAAAACAATGAGTGCAGCGAACCTAAACCCTTCTTGCGCTGTTGGATTCTACTGCAGGTCTAGACGAGAACTAAGTGACCTTATTGATAGGTTACCTATCCTTATGTCAGTAAGTAGTCTCCAGGCATCAACCGGAAGCCGACCAGTTGCATTCACTGTTGAGGTGCTAGGTCTTGACAAGACAAAAAACAAACCTTCGTAGCAAAATTGTTTTTCCTAGCGCCTGAATATACCTTTTTTTAAATGAATAACTTCAAATGTATTACTTCAGTATATTAACAAATATTATCTTAATAGTGTTATACATGGCTCCACATTTGTTTTTCATCGAAATGAACTCTGTTTAATAAAAAGTAACTAGTAATTGAAATAAGCATTATTTTAGGGTAACTGTGTATAGCTTCGCAAAGATTTAATGTATTGCATTACAAGTGGAACGCTGCCATGTTTGGATACTGTATTCTGGAAAAGTTATATTGACAATAATGAATCCAGTAGTTCTAATGCAACAGTATATAGGGAAAAATTATTGGTTACCATCGAAATGACATATATGTTGTCACATAAGTGTAGGATTTCGGGGAATGTTAGTTTTAACTTGAATATTCAAATGCACAAAAATTGGTCAAAAAGTCTTTCAACTAATCACACATATCAACTTCATGAGGACCTAAAATTCCAGGAATACAAGCTTGACGTCTTAGTTTTGCTGCTTGTGCCTGAGCAATCTCAGCTTCTCTTTCCTCCAAATATAAATCAGATAAATCTTCCCCAGCGACCTCGCGTATCTGAACAAGGAAGTCGCGTACGTGTTCACGAAATGCTGCTACATCTTGGTCAAATGAAAATAGTCCATCAATGAAAACGCGAATCTGTGTTTCTTGAAGGTGGGGGAATACTTGCTTTAGTAACTGACTCAAGCTTTGATGTACATATTGTACATTCGCTTTTGAACCTTGTACGGCTGTTGACTCAGGAACATCACTAAGAGGGACTGTGATTATGTCGTTCTCCACTATTTTAAACATATAAGCCAACAGCGATGACTGAAGCGTTAAATCTAAAAAGTATTACAATAGTGGGAAACAGTCAAGTTGATATATACGATAGGACATTAAAAATATCATGAGGGCTGCTATTAATAGATAACCTGAAACACCTACTGAATGAAAGTATTTAATTTCTCAATGAAAATATAAACTAGCATAACAGTACCAAATCAATGCTATTTGTGATACTTGAGGGACATTTATGGAATTCATCATTACCCAAACAGAGTTACCGTATATTAAAAAATTCAAGGAAAAAAATTAAATATGAAATCATCCAACCTCGTCAGGTTAGAGACCAGGCTTCATAACATTACATAGCTGGTTGAACAATAGATTAATCATGATTAGGCTGGGATAACAAAGGTGCTAAGTTTAGTAGATTAAAAATAGATACATTTGTTGTGTGTCTACGGATACAATTCTTTCCAATTCGATAGATATTATCGAATGAATTAGGGAGTAACATGCTTAGACCTTATTTTGTGCGCAATCATAAGGCAGTGACTTCATAACTTGCAGGTTTTCAGCAATAAAGTTACAGGCTTGTACTCGCTCCACTCATTTGAAACGGAAAGTTTATAAGAAATAAAATATACTACTTAAAATTTTAAGTTAACACACGAAAGAAACTATTAGAGAAAATGGCTCACGTGTTAGGGCATTGTATACAAAGTCGTATGCAAGTCAACATTTTAGGGCGATCCCTTATGATGAGCTACTGAGTTCCATTTACATCGCACTACGAGTCATGTGAGCTGATATTTTGACGATACACTTTCAAGGTGTGTGATAACAAGAAGCTTGTCAGTAAGCTTCTCGAGATAATCTGCAGAAAAATCCAGTTTGATTTGGAAAATAAAATACCTATGAACTTCAAAGTAAACAAAAAACTGACCATACAAATTGAAGTTACTCGGCTTGTCAAACACTCACTTCCTGTTTGGGAGCGGTCAGTAATGACAGCAAACATGTGTTGAAGAATATCCATAAAGAATGTTTTAAAGAATACCTGGCGTTTTTCGGAGTTCGCGCTAGACATATTTACAAGCATTGTATGCAGGATATTGAGTCCTGTTTCTGAGACCTGAAATATATTTTAAATCGTTAGTAGGATTGAATCAAAATTAACATTTTCATTCATTACGAATGCACCACAATGATCAACTACTTTGATTCTTAGTAAACAATCACTGTAATAACATACATGTGGACGATTAATTTGTCAGATCTTGTGTTTGTAAACAATCATGAAAATTACTCATCGGCTTGAAAAAAAATCTATCTATTCGCAGCTTAGAAAGTTGACCGTTTTTTGAAACGAAGACTTCACTAATAGATAATATGCAGTTAACGTTAGGCGAGGTACCCTATGTATTTTCAAGGTAAACATTCATAAGCAACCTATGTGGAGTCAAACTTTCTCTGTACAAATCTCATTTGATAAATTTCATTTTCAGAACAGTTACTCTTCATCATGTATAACAATAATACTGGAAAACTATTCAATATCACACTAAGTGAATACAATAAATCAGCAAAAATTCACTTATTTGTTATCGTCTGTTATTTTGTTTTGTTAAGCTCAGATAAGATTAATGAAATATTTTGTGGTTTTGAGAAAACAAGATTAGCAAAACTTCTTTGTATACGAAAGTGAGAGGTTTGGGGAATCAGTCAAATGATGTAAGGAATATAACAGAGAGTTATACTCGGGTTTACCCGATGTCATGTTTAGTCTTTCATATCGATATTGATAGAGAACTGGAAATAAAAAATGGTCAACGTTCCAATTTCTTTTATGCATGAAAACTTAGTGTAGTTAGTTTAAAATAGCAAACTTTTGTCAAAATCTAGAACTAGTGCATCTAATTACTGTTCTCCAATCTCATTCATTTACATACACTCATTTTATCTAGATCCAAAAATTATGCGTCAACATAGGCAAAACAAAATCGAAGTACACACAATAACTGTTAAGAACCATAAATTCAAAAGACAGACAAAATATTAGTACCAAGCCATTAAACATAACCAAAATTGAGATCATTAAACTTAAATCAGAAAGAATACCAGTTTGTGACGAGTTACTTTTAGAAGTCTTCAAGGCCAATATTCAAGAAATAATGGCTGAAATTCTATCTAAGCTATGTAAGCCGATAAAGATTACACAATCCTGCTTTTAGATTCTAGAGGCGAATTCAAGAGAACAGTAGAATTCAGGTCTGGCTGAAATAGTCAGAATGTAACATACTGCTGTCAAATGTAGGACTATTATTAAAGCTAGTTTTCATAGACAGTATCCACGTATGTTAACAAATCAACTTGTACAAAGGGTTGCATAGACCAATGTGATTCATAAGTTGACCTCTAGAAAATATTATGGAAACTCCACTAACCAACCAGTGATCTTACTGAAATACCTACACAGTTAGCAAATAAGTATATTTGTGACAGCATGCTCTTTAACTATGTGGTATCAATGCATTATACTCAACATGGGAAGATCCCAGTTATTCTATCATACCCTTGAAACAAAACTGTGGCAGAATTATTAAGTAATAATACTGATGTAAGATAAATAAATTTACTGAAACAGTGGACTAGGTGATCAGGTTTCCAAAAGATATCTCCTTAAGGGTCTATTTGCATACATTGTGCATAATTGACCACTAAAGACTATGTACGATCTCGAGTGAAATAAGATCAGACTGAATATAACCAAATTATCTAGTGAAAATGACTCGTTAGAACACCGACTGTTTGGTAAATAGTGATGGACACAATTATCAAATATAGTTCGTGAGGTCTAACGAATTAGTGTAGGGTACGCACAAAGTGATATTAAAACTGTCAAAATAGAAATGAAAGGTTTGAAAACTTACTTGTCGCATAGTATGTTTGATTGCCCAAATAACGCTATCTAAAATCAGTTTGAACTTATCAGATGTTAAGCTTAACAAAGCAGAGAAACAATGCGCATTTACAGCCTGTAGAAGAGTGAAAAAATTAGTTCGATGTTCAGGAAATTCTTCCAAGTCTTTATCGATCATCTCTAGAGTAGACTGAAAGACTGCATCTAAAACACGAGGCAGAGCTGGAAGAATATGATCTTCAAGACGATTAACAAGGGTAGCCATTAAGCTTAAAACTTCGGCCTCTCGAGCAGCAGGAAGATTTTTTTGGTAGTCGTCAGCTACAGCATCCAATAGAGGAGGTAAAATGTTCTCTGCCACCTATATAAGAGATAGAAGTGAAGATAAATTCTTGATTTGTGATGGACGTAATTTTAACCATGGAGCTTCAATAAATTCAATGTCTGATATTTGTAAACTTACAAAAACAGGATCAGTAGTCCTTTTTATCCAACAAGATAATAGATTCAATATCGCTTTCTTGACTGATCGCATACTGCGAATAAGTGGTTGTTTTGTCACCTGCTCTCCATTGGTAGCCACAGCCTGGCCAATATTTTGGGACATTATCTTATAAACATTTAACATGTCCAGGTAAATGCGACCAAGCTGAAAAGAATATATATTGTTTTAGGATAAGATTAACTAATTATGAAAAATCAAGTATCAAAGATTTATGACCATGCTTACCTGGACAAGATAAGAATGTCCGAGAGATTTGCAAGCACTGTGATTTGTTTTCAGTAAGTTACAAAGCTGCTGTACAACTTCAAAGTCTCTTAACAGGTCAATATTGCATGCAGCTTGAACGAGAATCCCATCCCAAATCTACATTCGGATAATTTGTAAAGGATAGCATAAAACTTACTTGATTGGGTAACCGAAAAAGCCGTTCTATCTGTCTAGCTTCAACAGCTGAGTCAAGTTGGGCACTGATAATAACTCCTACAGCTTCATAAAATGTGTGAACCTGTTGAGGTTGTAAATCATTGATTATGATATCAATTTCCTTTAAAATCTCTTCAATAAATTCAACTGCTTCTCCGTACTATCCGAATAAGAAAAGTACACGAATTGTACAGTAAAACCGGAATCGAATTAATAATACATTACAAATGAACAGAATAATGAAGTGTGGAAAAATGTTTATAACTAATCGACAATCTTCAAGAGAATATGAAATATCACCTTACTTCCACATTCATCAACTCGCTAACTGAAGTCGGCTAGAGTAAAAT